CTGCCTGGCTGGCTGGCTGCCTGCCTGGCTGGCTGGCTGTCTGTCTGTCTCTCTGTCTGCGTCTCTGTGTGTCTGTGTGTCTGTCCATTTTAGTGATTTGTCACTACTGTCGATCTCCCCTTCAACCACCATCACCACTGTGAAAGCGTCTTTGCCAAAGTGAGAAGCCAATGCAATGACCAACCCCTGCTCAACTTAATGACGAAAAAATTGCCAGAAGGCACCTTGTGATTCCAAAGGCTTCATACACGCGCGCGCACACACACAGAGACAAAGACAGAAAACAGACAGACAGACAGACAGACAGACAGACAGCCAGACAGCCAGCCAGACAGCCAGACAGCCAGACAGCCAGCCAGCCAGCCAGACAGACAGACAGACAGACACACACACACACACACAGACAGACAGACAGACAGACAGACAGACAGACAGACAGACAGACAGACAGACAGACAGACAGACAGACAGACAGACAGACAGACACACACACACACAGACAGACAGACAGACAGACAGACAGACAGACAAACACAGACAGACAGACAAACACAGACAGACAGACACAGACAGACACAGACAGACACAGACAGACACAGAGAGACAGAGACAGACACAGAGAGACAGAGAGAGACAGAGAGAGACAGAGACAGAGACAGAGACAGAGACAGACAGACAGAGGTGGTTGAAGCTACCCCTTATAAAAGCAAACTCAAGGTCGCGTTACCCGGCTACCTTTCGTGACAAGCAGTACCGTGAAAGTTGTCCCTCTGGAAGCCTCAGCAGGGAAAACATTGTGATCAAGCTAAGGTTCCTTGGCTTCGGAGTAGACCAACATCCCAGCAATCTTACACACATCCTGAGGAGTCATATGCATCGCGACACTCACATTGCCACTGAAGCTGGCAAACCTCTTGCGCCTGGCGACACTGTGAAGTACGAAAGCTCGCGATGCGTCAGGACTCACAGTAAGAAGACTCATGGAATCATGCGGAGAAGGATGCAAAACTCTCGGTCAGCCGTTGGTTGCGTTCTGGCAACTAAACTTCAAGCTGGGCTGGAGTCTGTGAAATCAATCCACACCGCCGGATTGACGTACAGTACCCGCTTTGAACACATTGACTCCAGCGGTCTCCCTCGCTCAGGCTTTTTGCAGGCCCTTCAGGTGATGTAAAGTGCTACTGAGTTCCGAAGACTTGCACGGACCGCCGTCAACCTGTCGCCGCAGTTCGTTTTCGTGCTTTGCCAACTTTAACTTGAGTTCTTGAAACCTTTGGAACCCTTAGGCGGCTTACTTAGGCCAGCGTGTGGCTCTCATTTTTCCCGTCGACGCACCTTCTTGTCCTGTTTCGTTTCATGTCTTCCTGTCTTCATGTTCCGTCATCTCATCTCTTTCCTTCTTTTGCACACACACACAGAGCTCGGCTACTAGTTTGTACACGCGCAACCTACCTGTAACCCAGGTTTCAGGTTGCCCAGGTCTTTACAATGAGGTGGGCTTTCATCGTTTGTCCCTGTGCACTCGGCGCGCGCACGCGCACAACTGTCCCGGCCTTAGCTCTTTTCGCCTCCCCAAGTGGGGGGCGTGTGTGTGTATGTGTGTGCCCTTTGGAACCATAGGGATCCTTTTGGGTTGGAGAACTTGCGGTTTGTTCAAAAGTTGCAGCAGGGGGTGCCAGGGATGCACACTGGACTGGCGCCAACGAAGACGCCAGTGTTGCATCTGTGAAATCAATCCGGGACGCTTTGAACACCAGCGGTCTCCCCGCTTTCCCCTTTACACACTTTCTTTTCCTCTTTCATTTCATGCCTCATCCTTTCCCTTTTTGGGCGCACATCGGTCCGGCCCTTACACGTGCACTCATAGACTGAATCCGAGTCCGAGGTCGC